AAATCCGGATCCTTCCGCCCTTCCCTCACTGCTCTCAGATCTGCAAGATCGGTCTTTCCCGCGCCCCTCTCCAGTGACCTTCAAACGCTCTTGTCGCCCGATAGGCTTTTATAAAACGGGTTCTTCTCGATGTAGGAGAAGCCTGTGGAGACCTGCAGTAAATGTGTTTTAAAAACCAAAAGGTAACGAGGGGCCCGGATAACTTGGCTATCTTCCAGCAGGCAAACCACGGTTTTGTTTTTTTTTTTAATCACGTGATAGGCTGAAGCTTTCCAGCCAGGATTTTAACTCGGGACTGAGAGAGGCGGGACTCCATCGCCACTTCCGGCCCCTAGAGCGTGACTTAACGTCACTTCCTTAGCAATGCACTTTAACCCTTGCCGTCCTCGTTTTCTGTGCTGCAGTTTATAACCCAGTCATAGCGAAAAAAGGACCTAACTCGTTCATTAGCCACGCAACCATTCACATCCAAGCGACCTGCTAGGATTCAAGACTGGCGAGAGGCGGCGTGGCTGGGGAGGAGAAGCAGGGTGGAGCTTGAGGTCACATGACCAGGACGACCCGCCCCTTGCAGCTGAAGTCTTCCCCTCCCTCAGTGACAGAGCCTCTGGGTCCCGTGTAGGTACTGATTCTGCTCTTCGCGCCCCGGCGGGTCAGGTGCGACAGGTAACCGGCGACTGGTGGGGACGATTGACGGGGAGAGAGGAGATGGGGACTGGGGAGTGCGAGCGGCGGCCTGCGGTGCTGGGGCTCCTTCCCCGTTGTCATCCTGCACTGGCTGGTTGGTAGCTCTTTTCTCCAGATCTACATTCTGGACCCCTGGCTCGTCCCCGAAGTCCACTGGCGAGGGATTAAGATGCCCACCTTTGCCTGGGTTGAGAGCGAGTGCGGCCATTACGGTTCCCTATTTGGAGTCGTTGGGGCTTCAGGTGGTAGGATTGCTTTAGCCATTACTCCGGGTTTGCAACCACCTCCAGGTCCCATTCCCCAGAGCTCCTTCCCCTGGCAAAGGCCTTCGTCCGGATGAGCAGGAAGATAGGAGAACCCCCTGGAGGCAGAGGCGTCTCCGGTGAGACGGGCTTGGGAGGGAATGTCACTGATACGGCCCTCACTGCAGAGTCACTGAAGAACTGCCCTACGAATGTGCATTCTCGGTGATTCTAAGGGTCTTATCGGACATCCCTGCAGAGAGGTTCAATGAGTGTTCACTTGCTCCGGATGAGACTGGAAGGGCAAGAGCAGGGCTTACAGCCTTTTCTTTTCGGAGAGAAGGCCGTGGTACTGTCTTCAGAACAGGGTGTTTGGTAATGCGACAGTTGAATGAGAAGGCAATGAAAGATGGTGTTGCCTGGTTGGGCTGGAGACCTAGGCTAGCTTATGGGAAAGTGACGAGGTTTTCCCGAAAGGGAAGTAATTCTTCCGAAATTGATCAAGCTGAAAATATAATTAATCCAAATTCATTTGGCTATAATTTAAAAGCAGGAAGGTTAAGCCTAGATATTACTGACTTGGTATTTTCTGTGATGTCTGTGGCATCCTTCCCCTTTTGGGCATTTTTTTTTCTTTAAATCCTACATAATTGTCCCTCCCAGTCAATTCCTTGGCCAGTTTAAATTTGTGGAGTGTGTTTTTAATTAGCTTTTGCATTTCCAAAAAATAAAATGAAGTGACCTCTTCTGATTTGGGTGTATAATATATTGTGAAAATACAGGAATTCTTTTGCCGTAGAGTTGCCCAACCCTTTGTACTCCCATTTTATATGCACTGTAGTAGCCACTGTTTTGATATCAAACAATGAGCTTTAGGAAAGGAATGTTTTTCAGTTTGTGGCTAAACTCATTTATTTATTCTGCAAACTTAGAAAGTTCCTTGTTTTAAATTACACATTTGACTTTTATACATTTTCTTATATGGTTTCATGTTTTTAGTTAAATCTTAGTTCTAAGCAATGTAATTGAAGAATTTACTTTTTAAAATCTGCTGAGGACTGGGAATATGGTTCTTACCTCCATGAATGCTTGAGGCTTTAGATCTAGTCTTCTGAACTTGAAAGTTAAAAGGAAAAAGATGGAATGATTATCTTCTAGTGATTTGTCAGACTGAATTTTTCCCCTCCCACGTTTTCTGAAATTACATGATCTTATTTGTTAATGAGAGCTGCAAGCTAAAGTAATGATAGCAATTTAACAAAATAGAAAGGTTGGCCTATTTGATAACTTCTTACAAAAAATATCTTGCACTGCCCAGAAAAATCATACTGGTTTTTGTATTCATATTTACAATTTTACCATTTTGTGATCCACAATAGCTATTGATAGGTTTATATAACAAGCATAAATATAGGTTCTTAAATAGTTTGTTCCTTTTCATTGCTAATCATTATTCTGTGGTATGGATAACACCACAGTTGGCTCAGCCATTCACTTGTTGTCATTTTTATTTGCATGTGTGTGCCTCCCAGAAGTGTCTTCCTCCATTCTCCCCCACTCCTTTTTTTTAAAGGTAGGTTAGCTCACTGATTCAGCAAGCCCCAGGCATCCTTCTGTCTCCATTTGCCCCTGAGCAATGAGGATAAAGGAGCACCAACATACTTGACTTTTGAATGCATGCTGGGGAGCCAAACCTGGATTTTCATGCTTGCAAAGCAAGCACTTTAATGACTGAGCCATCTCCTGAAATACAGTATTAGCCGTTGTTTTTCTCAAGAGTGAGCTTCCCTGATCTCTTGAGGAGAGGGAAAAAAATGGTTTTGGTTTCCTGCCCATGTGACATTCCACCAAATAAACAGAATTCCTAAGTGCTTTGGAAGTCCAAACCAGTTCTGTGCAGGTGCACCAAAATGGACTAGAGGAAACCAGTTTAAAAGTACTGAGTACTACAGGAGGAGAAATTCATAAGAAAGAGATTGGATGAGTCTGCAGTTTTATGTCACAATTAATTGCTTCAATTTTAGGGAACTCGTGAAAGTAGTAACTTAGACTACTGATGAAACGTGGAAGATTAGCAGCAGGAAATCAGTGACAATGAAGAATAAATGTGAAAAAAATGTTTGACATTATATGTATACAAATAGATGATTTGAGCATTGGAAGGCATTTCTGATACTGTATAGTGTATCACATTTTTGTGTGTCTCTGGGTGTGGTGGTGCATGCCTGCAATCCCAGCAATGGGAGGCAGAGCCTGGCGGATCTCTGTGACTTGAAGGCCAGCCTGGTCTATAAAGAGTTCTAGGCCAGCTAGAGCAGTGAGACCATGTTTCAAAAGGGAGGGAGAGATTTATATGCAGAAATTTATTTGGGGAATAAGTCCTCCATTAAGTAATATGTAAAGGTTGGGGCCCCAACATCCTTTGATTTTTTTTTCCACTATGAGGTCTTTCTTAGTTTCACTGTCTTTATAGGGTATCATCGACATTGGAAAAGTATTCTTCCCCTTTGGGCCAAGGTAGCCAGTCTGTCCCTTAGGCTACTACACAATATTTTCTATTATTTCCTTTATTTTTACTTACAGATTATTTCTATTAGCTGGTGTATTCCTCAGTAAGCTGTAAACCTCCCTTCAGTTAAAGGATAGTGTCCTTATTGTGTCTTCTCCACAAGGATGCTGACGTGGATAAGGACTTGTCCAAGCACACAAAATGCTGAGTGAGGTCCCTGATAGGTTGTTTACTGAATAAGTGTTGAGCAATTAACAAGGAAATAAAACCACTTCAAGCCTCACAGATTGTAGTTCCTTCTGAGGTTGTTTATTAAGTATTGACTTTTTAATGCAAGTTTCCAAACACTAAATGGAATAGACATAAACCATGCATGGACTTTATTAATACAGTTACTAACTTACTTCCACGATGTGTTATGTTTACTGTAAGATCTGTGGTTATCATTCAGTAGGAGAGGACAGAGATAGTTGTCCTAAATGGGGAAAAATGGCTCTACATAAACTACAAGTGGTTTAACACTAAAGTTAGAGGATCTTCATTCAGCGGCTCTGTCTTAGTCACATGACCTTTTGAGTGCAGCTCATGCTGGCAGTTTCAGGGTTCTGTACCCAGAAACTTTCCTCCCCAGGGTATTGTAAGTTGAATGAGATAACCTTACATATTCTATTTGAAAGCAGTTTTAAAACTAGATGTGAGAGTAAAACAATACAATTCAAATGTTACCTGAGTAGATGGCCCAATCACAGAAACCTGGAATTAGGTTTTAGCCTCCCCTGTTATTAGCTGTCTGACCTTGGGCACTGAAAATCAAGTCTCCTTATGTTTAAATCTAGCCCATAGGTATTATTAAAGTAGATCATGAGTATACTGTGTCTAGTACACACTTTATAAACTTTTTTTTTTTTAATGGAGGCCAAGACTGGCCTTCAACATGGTCATTCTCCTGTCTCACTCCTAAGTGCTGGCGTTATGCCACCACACCAGCAGAAATTCTTACTAATTATATTGTCATAAGTTTCAGTTGTATATATTGAACTTCTAGGGAGACTCAGATATGCAACAAAAGGTTTGTGTCACAGTGAGTAGACTAGAATTAGAAGTGGGTCTATCATGAACAATAGAGCTGAAAAAAACTCTTGTAGCTTTATTCTTTGAGACAGGCTATGTTATTCAGGTTGCTTTAAAACCCCAGGTCTAAGGCTAGTCAGTCTGCCCCAGCCTCCCAATTCACTGGACTGCAAGCTCAAGTGCCACCACATGTGGTTCCAAAAGACTCTAAACTTCTTTGTAGTAGGTGCTGAGAAATATCAACATAATCCCCCTCCTTTTGAGGGGGATTCGATATAGTTTAGTATTTTTTTATATTTAAAAGTTTTCTAATGCTTATAATCATTAAAGTGTGGAATTGATTTTCAGAAACAATTTTTCCACTTTTAAAGTTTTATTCCTATATTACAATATAAGGTACAGTATGGGCATGAACTAGAGTAAGAGTTTTTCAGTTTAGAGAGTCATAGGATTAGTGGGTTTGCAATGGAAAGTATCAGTAAATAAAATAATGGTTGAAACATAGCTTTTAATCATGACAGAAAATAACAAAAACTACTCATTTACTTTAAGGAAAGTGGTTTACTAAGAGATAATTGAATATTTACATTAATGTCAGTTCACTATAGGGTAACTGGGATATAATAAGTATATGTTTATGCATTTTTGTGTATTGATAAGTAATATGTGATCAATAAAAATGTTTTCCATTTAATTTCTGAACAGTTTTAAATTTCACTTTTTTTTTTTTTTTTTTTGG